AGATGTTCTTCCTTTTAAGTCTGTCCCGCAAAGAATGTCGTCTTTCTATAATTAAAGTTAATTTTAACTTTAAAATTCCCCGTTTACCCTTAATGAAATGATTTATAGCTACACAAATGTCTAAGGTTTATTTTAGACAACAAATTTCAAAAAGTCTTGCTTTCTTTCTTAAACTTTGTGCCAAGTCAAACGGTGCAACATAAATAGGGATAGAGGGAGTAGATGTCAAATCAAAGTGCAAACTGCCTTATATACTTATATAGAGAACTCAGTTTAGACTCCTAATAAGTTAAGCCCTTATCTCTAACTAAAACATTAAGATAAAATCAAACTGAAGTGATGACAATAAAAGAATAATTCATGATGATAAAGGATAAAATTTTAGAGGTTTTAGCTACTTAAAGCGAGAGTGCGCCCAAAAATTGAGAAGAGTGCCACTAATGTTGTGGCAAAGGAGGCCTACTATACATATATTGAATTAGTAACCAGTTAAACACTGAACTAGACAAAATTTCAGTGAACTATTGAAGCTATCAGCGTGATTGATCAATGATTTACTGTGGCATAATCTTGAAAATAGTTAATGCTGAATGATGCTATGGGTCTTGGTTGTGGGAGCAAATAAGTGCAATTTCATATATATGCTACTTATTGTATGTTTGTTTCCTCAAAATGAGAACCTATTGCTACTTATACTGAATTTGACACTTCATAATACACTTCATAATGATTCAGGACATGGCAGGACTGATAAGCAAAATAAACAGATCATGCATTGGCCCATTGCCACCTTGTTATTCTCCGTCCTTGTAAGTCAGGCCTTTGTTTTGCGAGAATAATTTGTCTTTGTGCTAAAGCTTCTACTCATAGGTGTTTAATTGATAATTTATGTGTGAATATTTAGTCATGTTTTAGAAGATAATTTTTCTTCTTTCCTTTCTTGTAACTGTTAATGTTCTGCAATGGCCCCATTATCCACCGAATTCTGAACCGTACACCACTAGCCTCGAGGATTTCTCGGTTATCAAAAAGTTGTTCTTAATGGTCTATCTTCTCCTTCTTCGTGGCACATGACAATTTCTTAACATTTTGAAGCAAATGTAAACACTTCGAAATACTAGAATTTGAAATCATGTGTACTCATAATCCCTCTGGAAGATGTTACATGTTCAAGTTATCAACTTTCAACAGACAACAAATCCGAGCCTCAATCTTGACATTATGAATGCTCTATTCTTCTGTAACATGCTTATTTGAGATGGTGCACTTGTTTGTCATTATGTTTCATTTGGATATTGTTTTCACAGAAAAACAGTTATTAGAGGAATGCTGAGGAAGAGCCCCGAGCATCGACCTACTGTAAGCTTACCAATTTAAATTTTTTTGTCGGAATGTCATGTCCATTGTCTGACCTCAATATTTTCAGGCATCGGAACTCCTGAAGCACCCATATTTGCAGCCTTACGTGGATCAGTATCGACCATCCTTTAGTCCTCCTCCATTAAGTTCTCCTGAAAAACCTCTCACTGCTGGTCGTGACTCCGGAAAGAATATGGCAGAAAGCCAAAGTAGTACCAGTTCATGCAGTGATAAAGATAGTTTAAAGTCGAGCGAGAACTTGCAGGAAATGACTTGCAATGATGACCATAAAGGCACTAACACGAATGTTGCCTTTGTTGATCATGAAGACTTTGAGCAACATTATTCTAGTGAGGAACATCATGGGGCCGACACAGAGGACTATGACTCTAGGAACATTTTGCATGACGAGAAAAAATGTGATGCAGAAGCTAAGCAACCCACAACTATAAAAAATATTATGTTGGCTTTGAAAGAGGGAAAAACGAGGGAACATAGTTCTCCCATGAGAGGTGGCAAGACAAAGGTCAGTGGTACTGGTGCAAGCAAAGCTAACATTGAAGCATCACCGAAAGTCCTAAAACCAGGTTCACCTACTCCTATCTCGAAATCTAATGCACATACACCACCTACTTTGAAGAATCAGGTATCAAGTCCCTAATCCTCTTATCTTGACTAGCGCTTGACTATTAGTTGGATAATATCTATATTTTAATTACCTTTTCCTTGCAGTTACCTACCACTGAGTCCACCTCGAAGAATAAACCAAGAAACGGGGGAATCTCTCCCTCTGGCACTATAAGACAAGTCGTGCATGATAGATCACCTACAAGGCCCAGACAGAGAACACCTCCTAAATTTACTAAGCAACCGTCGTTTACTGGAAGGCTACAGCCAGTGTGTCATGATGCCTTGAATTCTGCGAACGATGATGTAGAGTGTGGTCCAAATGACAAGTTGCATGACCCCGAAAGGATTCTTGATACTTTTCCTGATGGCTATCATATACATGCCACAAAGAAAGACCCCGAAAGGATCCCTGGTTCTTCTCCTGGTGGTTGTCAAATACATGCCACAAAGAACAGCATGCTGCATTCTCGAAAGGTTTCATCAGGAGCTTTTAAAGGAATGCAAACAGAGAGCAGCAATTCTGCTTCTTCTTCAGTGTCGATCCAAGGATTTGAACTTTGTGATGATTCAACAAATCATTTTATTAATTTGGCCGAACAAATGGTTGGAAGTCATGAACAAGCTAGTGAAACTGAAACCATAGGGTCAAGACCTTTGTGTTCAGTTACTACATCATCACACTCATATAATGCTTATAGTTCTAGGGGAAACCATGAAGATAACCAGATATCTGAAGCAGGCTCCATTGAAAAGCATGAGGAGAATCATCAAAGTTTGGACGTTGGTACTTGCAATGAGAGATCAAATTCGTACGTAGCTACGGATACTGCATCTCCACACTTGATAGAGATTGCTATTTGTGAGGGTGATTCCACAACAAGCAAGCCTGATTCTACCACTGATATTTTGCATCTGACTAACCCCAGTTTAGCATCCTGCGGTATTGACAAGTCTATGGCAACGTTGTCATCCTCCACAACAAGTGTCTCTCCCACTACTCCACTCGTTTCCTCAAGCCAAAACAATCTGCTCCACTCTAACCTTACTTCAAAAGCCAATGGTGATGACAAGTTCTTGACCAAGGAACTCTTTCCCTCGACAACTGAAAGTGCCTCCCCTTCCACCCCTCCTATTTCAGCCAGCCAAAATAATTTTTTGGCAGACAAGGTAAGTGTTCCACAGAATGTGATTCTTGAAAAAGCGGCTTCTTCTCAGCTCAAACAAGCTTTTGATGATGTCATACATGTCATAAGACACAGTAGTTTCCGAGTGGGTATTGAGCAACCAGTGATTGACACTGTGGAGAGAAATGTTGATGTTGGAAAACGTATGAATGTCGTAAGAGATGAGCTTGATAGAAATCTAACTTCTCCTATTGCTCCCAAATCGTCTACTTCTGGATCAGTGAGTGTTAAATCCAATATATCCGATTGTGTCCATAATAAGGAAATGGATGTAAGAAACCAGGGCAGTCCCACCTCTTCACGTCCAAGATTAGATTCTTCGGAACCAGCAAAGACCAATGCAACACTTGTGGAGGACGAACGACCAGTAAAGGAAATATTAGATGTAAAATCTTTTAGGCAGAGAGCAGAGGCACTTGAAGGGCTGTTGGAATTATCGGCTGACTTGCTGGAGAATAACAGATTAGAAGAGCTCTCTGTTGTTCTTAAACCATTCGGTAAGGACAAGGTGTCGCCAAGGGAGACAGCTATCTGGTTGGCTAAGAGTCTGAAAGGAATGATGCTCGATGATTCTGCAAGAAATTCATGATCCATTTCACTAGTGTTTCTCTACTCTTCAACTTCCAATTGAGTTCTCCAAAGGAAACAGTTAAATAGGTTCTTTGACTATCCTTTTTCCCTATAGTATTTTAGCAATTTTTTCTTTCCAGTAACTGTAAATAGAGAGCACACAGATTTGAACGATTTTTTATTCCGCAAAATGTAACAATGTCTCCTTACATTACCTTTTGCTTACTGTTATCACGATTTTGATATGTTGTACTCTGCTGTTTTTCCAATGCATATACTTTTGAGTCAATTAGTTCTAATGTATTACATATATGTACTTGTACCCTGCTCTAGCTACAATCGTTCATAATTGAGAACGATAAGTAGATGACTATGTGCGTTGATCAATAGTTTCACGATGCTAAACGGGTTGTTGATTCTGTTTTAGAGATTGATTTCCCTTCTCTGCTCAGGATCTGATTGAAAATGTTCTTGATTTGGTAAGAAGTAAGAATATATGGTTGGCAAAATACAAATTTTCCATGCCAACTTACCTTGAAACTTTTGCTTCATGAAGAATTGGTTACTGTGTTCTCGGATTCTTTTAAAATACTGCTGCATATGTGTTGGATCCTCCAAAAATGCCCTACTAAAGTGTTCCCTATTCCAACAGTACAACTTAGCAGAATCTCGAGCTATTCACAATTTGCTCTACTAAAGAGGTTCCCAGAGCAACTGTAAAATTATCTGACCTATATAGGTTATGAGATCGAGTCGTGTAATCAGACAATGATGATTACGTTAGGATAAGTGGCTTACATTGAACCTCCTTGAGGTGCGGCCCTTCCCCGGGCAACTACTTGACCCCAAAGATGCGATTCTCATTTGACTAACTAACTTTTCTAATCTGGCAAAAGTTCATATGAATACATATTTTTTATTTTAGGTGAAAAGAGCCAAATATATCCATCAACTTGCTTTTAGATTTGATATATCATCGTTAAAAGAATGATCTATTAATAGCCATACACAAATGGCCGACGGGAAGTGAAAATTCGATTTTAAATTTATTTTTTAGAGTTCTTATTAAAATAAAAGTTACAAGATATATTTGATCATTCTCGCAAAATTCACTGATATTTTATGATATTTACAACAAGTCAACAATAATAACATATTTCGTAAAATTTCACAAGTGGGATATAGAGATAGAGGTATAAAAACCTTACCATTATCTCGTGGAGACAGAGAAGTTGTTTTCGAAAGAGCAAATATTTTGATAATTCTTACTTTTGGTTTATTTTCACAAATTCTAGAAAGAATTGGATAAAACAAAAAAAAACAAAAAAACAGAGGTGAAACACTTGTGGAGAAAACATTGTCTTTCTTGTTAAAGAATTCCTCCATGTCTGAAAATCCATTACAGCTTCTGTTCAAGACATACGAGAAAGTATCGAACTCTATACAAACCCAACTTGCTCAATTCATAGGTGTAATCCCAAAAGTTCATTCATCTCATAATAATAATGATGATCACCATTCCTTCTCTTTGCTCACTTCTTCATCTTCTTCCAAGAATCAACTTGCTTCAACTATGCTGCTTCAACATTCTGAATCACCCAAGAAGGTATTTTTAAGGGTCTTCAATTTTATTTTATTATTTTTGTAGTTTGGTATTGTGGTTTTAGTGTTATTGTGGAGGTATGCAGATAATGCACAACAAGTGTTTGATGAAAGTTCTCATAGAGAATCTGAGTGTCTTTTTAATTGTACTGTTCAAATATGTTTGATTGCCGAAATGGGTTTTGAGCTATTTTAACTGAATTGACAATGGTGCCTTGAAGTGGAGGAGTTAGTATTTTCAAGAAGGTGGTTCAAAATATGAAAGAAGTAAACACACAAAGAAGCCAAAAGTGGTTCAATTTCTAATATATACATAAAAAATAGGATTTTAACCATGTATGAACAGTGTAACTTGGCACTGTAGGGGGTTCGGAGTTCGGACCCTCCCCTGCTTATGGGTCAGTGTTCTCTCTAGTAGTATATGCTAGATGAGGCTAAGTGTTTACCAGATAGTACTAAGGAAAAAGAAAAAAATGTTTCTTTTGTGTCAAAGGTAGAGGTAAGTTCTGCGTACATACTACCATCCCTATACCCCACTTGTGGGATTACAATGGGTATGTTGTTGTTGTTTTGAATCAAATGTATGAAGGGTTTCGAACTCTACCTATATGAAGAGCATAGCCAGTTCCAACGCCGGATAAAAAAGCAGTGTCGCAGTATGTAGATGCAAGCATAAAAATAGCTAACTGTGATTTATCCTCTGCTCTGGATACTATTTGTTGCGACATGCTACTTGGATGTGTGCTACATTGTCAAAGTGGAGTTGGCTTGAATATAGCGGAACGGATATAGAGAATTTATATAGTTGGTCTGAACTATGTTCGGGAATTGAGGCGTAGTTGATAATATCAATGCAGGAGGATTTTGCAATTACCACCAACAAAGAAAAGACTACATAGTGATTAAATTGCTTTCTTAAAGAAGTCTTGGTATAAGATGGGGAGTGAATATATTGTCGCAATTGGGTTACTTTGAGCTATTACTTCTTTCATTTGTAACAACTTCATTGGTGCTGCAGGGGGAGTATTTATGTTTAGCAGCAGTTGATTTTTTTGTTGAGAGGTGTTGTTTTAGACTGGGAATATCTTGTTCAACAATTGATCTTAGATTGTATAAATGGGAGTTGATGCATCAAATAATATTAGTCTTAGGTATTTGCTCTAGATCTCTTATCCATCTAGCTCTTTGGTATGCAACTGTTCTGGAAGATCGAGACGTTAGGTGCTCATTATTCACCAGGATACTGTAACCCAGCATATCTTGGTTTTCAGTTGTTAATCATTTGTTTTTCACACCACATATTTTTTTAATGTAGTAAGCTATAATAATTGTGTCACTCCTTTTAATTAAAACGGAAAATCTCAACATATAGTTGTGAACATAATTGTTAATCAACTAACTTTCTTTCTCAGGAGAAAAGTTCTAGCCCAGTGACTAAAGAAGAGCTTGGAAGAGCTACTTGGACTTTTCTTCACACACTTGGAGCTCAGGTCAAGTATCCATCTTTTCTATAGCAGCAGTTCTCTTTCTACTCAGCTTTAAAAACCTTGCAATGAGAAATTTTAGCCCAAGTTGTTAAGGGATTTCAGTTGAACAGTATTTAGATATAAAACATGTTCATTAATTTTATCGATACCATAGTTAAGAGAAGTGAAACCACTTATTACCCCTCTAATTGTTTGATCATGATCATTAATTCTTTTATTTTGACAATTGATGGTCTGGTTTTTATTTTATCCTACAGTGTTGTTATATATTTAGTCTACCTGATGCTCTTGATGGTTAATAAAAATGTCTTTTAAGCACGGACACCATGGTTGTAGAAAATGTCTTTTGGAAGTGTAATTATACAATAATGGTCCTCAGGGTAATCCTTATCCGCATAGTTCTCTTTTCTTTTTGTGCTCGAAAGTAATACTTTTTTCTCATTGAAATTTCTTACCTGTTGACCTTTATGATCATGAGCTCACTTGTTCCTTTTTTCCAGTATCCAGACAAGCCAACCAGACAACAAAGGAAGGATGTGAAAGAACTGGTATGGTGCTCAGTCACCCTAAATGACTGTTTTTTCTTGATCTCAAAATTGTGTTTGAAAGATGATATTACATTAGGTCAACGGAGCTACTTTAGAAAGTTGAGGGCTAAATCTGCTAATAGTGATTATCTAGGGGTAGAATAGTTTTCCCTTATCCCTAGTTCATATGGAACAAAATTCCGTTCTTTTCTTGAGCTTTTCATAAGCAATGAGACAAAATTAAGGTGACTGTCAGTATGGGAAGTGTTACACATCGATGCGTCCATTTTATTGCAAGTTCTTCCATTATATACTTCATGACCTTGAGGTCCGTATCACATAAGGATTCTGCTCATAGGTTTGGAGAAAATATTGAGGCTTTTTAGAAACTAAAGGATTGCTTTTGTTGTTTGCCTGCAGATGGCAATATTATCTCGCATGTACCCTTGCAACGAATGTGCAGATCACTTCAAAGAAGTTCTAAGGTACCTAGTTTATGAGCTTTCTCGAGAGCAATAGCGATGGGGTATATTTTCTTTTTACAGAATTGTCCAGTTCTTTTTCCAATTCTAAAACTGTTCAACTTATTTGGTATGGGATTGGCTTAACATTCCCATGTGGTAGACTTTGCTAGGTGCATTTTTTAAAATGTGGTTGGGGCGTGCCTCAATGGTGCTTTGGGGCGAGGCAAGGCAAAGCAAAGCACCTTTGAGTGCACTACAGAGTTTACTGCTTGCGAACATCGATGCACACACGTGGGTGTCTTGTGCCTAACACTGAGGTGCACGATGGCCGAACTTTATATGTCCTAGTCTGTGATGGACAATTTGCCACTTAGTTATAAATTATTATTTTTTGTGATGGCTCACTTGGTGATTGACTTTCATTGTATTCTTTATTGTTGTCTCCACAAAAATCATACCATTAAACTATCCTTTTACTCCCAAAACGTAGTTCTTGCTGACACGTGACAAATTCCTTTTCCATCATTTTCTTTACCTTTCGCTGTCCTACGGGTTAGGCTTGGGGTAGTTTGGCGCCCTACCTGTTTCTCCCTTAGTACCAGCAGTATTAGCAGTTTTCACCTGTGATTTATGTGGCTACCAATTGTGTCGTGTGTTTTGGTTATCATTTTACTTTGATGTTTACTGTCTCCTTTTTCTATACGATATGTGATGCTTCCTCTAGTACTTGTTATGTTTGTTTTCTTTTGTATGTTCTGTGGTATCTGTTACCTGTGTTGGAAGTCTTTCGGAAACTGTACCTGTCAGGTCTGCTTACATTCTACCCTCCACATACCCCACGTTGTGAGATTACACTGGGTATGCTGGTGGTGGTGGTGGCTGTGTACATAAAGAGTCAAGTGCAAAAAGAGATGAGTTGCAAGCGACTGAGTCAATGGTGGACATTAAAGGGCAGAAACCAATTAGTCTGCTGCCATAAAAATGCTCAAAAAGCTTAATGAGTTTCTTCCTGTATGTTATTGAACTTTGTTGCTCATGTTCTTTACAGAGCAAATCCTGTACAAGCTGGATCTCAAGCTGAATTTTCACAATGGTTATGTCACGTGCACAATGTTGTCAATAGAAGGTACTGCGACTTCCCCTTTTTTAACCCGACCAATCATAACCTTTACTTCTCTCTGCTGATAAATGAACTTGTCTAATCCCCTTTATGTTCATTATAGAAAGATTCTCTGGAGTTGAGTATTCATCCAGTGACAGAACTACTTTAGTTAATTGCTACTGTTAAATGGACCTTGCATGACTCAACCCCAAACGCTCCAAGCCATATAAAATCATGTGGGATCTTGTCCTGGCTGATGTGGGACATGCACATCACCCCACCCCCCACCCCCCACTCCAGACACAGACCGGACTGGGGCGTTCACAATCATGAACTGGGGGTATATTCATGATCGCCGCATGGTCCAGGGTCCCCACATCAGATCCAATGGCCCGACTCTGATACCATGTTAAATGAATCTTGGGTCTAATTCAACCCCAATAGCTAGCTCAAAGGGAGGAGGTTTGCCCAATCCATAAAGGAGTCCCAGGATCTTATTCCTGTCCAATATGGGACATTCTCATCAGCTTCCCAATTTTTTCTTTAATGGGTCTTTAAAAACTTATCTTTATCAGATTAGTTCTTCTGTCTCTTTTAAAAACCGATACATAATCTTATTACTGTATGTCTGAAGCAAATTTCAACAATTTTATACAGTTTGAGCAAGCCTAAATTTCCATGTGACCGGGTTGATGCTCGGTGGGGCAAGCTTGACTGTGAGCAGCGCGCATGTGATTTGCAAGGCACTGATAAGTTTTGGTTTTGACACACATATTGAAGCTCTTATATCAGGAACATGACATACAAGAAAAGATGATCCCAGATTTTGTTGTATCATTCAAACCTCCAATCCAAGGAAACAAGATGCGTATTTTTGACTTTGAGAGCATTCAGTATGTATTATAATACCTCTTCATTGTTGAAAACTTGATGTGGCAACCCTTTCCAAGGTGAAGCCTCTGTTCCCAGAGAAATGTAAATTTCTTTCTGCAATGCAAAGTGGCATCTGTATCTATATTCTTGAATGCTGGTTATAAACCTTTGAAAGCCTGGAAGAGACTTAAGTAGTGTTGATGTTTTCATTTTTGGCTTTCAGCACTTTAAGTAACAAAAAAGTGGCAGAAAATTACCCGACAACCGAAAGAAAAAAATCACGAGGCAAAAGATTATATATTTTTTTATGACAAGGGAAACCCGCATCCGCTACCCTTTGGGTGCGCATAGGGTAAAATCCCGCTCCTATGCAATAGCTCGCAAAGCAAATGAGGTAACCCGCACTAGGCAAGCCTGGTGTGACGAGCTCGACCCAGAAGGCAAACCCCTTGCTTTCGCTGGCAAGGGGTTTCAAACTTGAGACCTTAAATATGGAAGTCCCAAGCCCAAACCACTGGGCCACCCTGAAGGATAAAAATTATATTTTTGTATCATGATATAACATAAGTTATGCTTACAAGGCAACACAAGTTATGTCACGTAATTCTAATAGAAGTTATGTTGTTAGAGGCATAAGTTCAGTACATAACCCACGACATAAATAGGCAAAAGTTCAGTTTTAGAATTCACAAAGTTATGCCTAACATTTATGTCTTGTGAATTAGATGTTATGCAACTTATGCCGGACAAGGCAAAAGTTAAGGGTACTTTTAACTCATGAAATTTCATTATGTAATGAGAAACAAAGCCAAAAATTAAAGACCACTCCGAAATAGAGGCCATCCTTGCAAAAAAACTTGAAGAACATTATAAAATATTCTACAACTTCCCTTCCCATCAATCTCAACTATCTAATTATCTATGTTTCATTGAAGCCATCTGGTAATTGCTGCTTATCTATGTAATTATGGCAATCATACCTATTTTTATGACAAGATAAATAAATATCCAGAAGGTATTCTTGCAAAAATAGTGTCAAATGAAATTTATTTTGGTTATTCTGAAGTCAGTACAACCTTTAGAAGGGATAAACTCTCATTAGACCTTTAGGAAATATGTACTTGAGAGTATAACAACATATTCAATATAGTCCCACAAAATAGTATCTAGAGAAGGTGGAGTATACACAAACCTTACCTTTTTAGAGAGAATGTTTCATACACGTTGATGAATGAACTATTAGCCTAATTAACAAGTGCCATTTGGTATTCAGTAGTGTGACGAACGAATATAAAATCATTCAAGAATTTTAGGAACAGTAACAGATCAAACTTCTTCACCAGTCCATGCCAAAATCATGAATCATTCAGAAAAAGTAAAATACATATGTGACTCTTTTATCCAATCTGATAAAAGCTATAAAGACGAGTAGCGTGAACCAGTGTCGTAGACGCGACCACCTAGTCCAAGCAAACTAAAAGAAAGATTCAATACTATTCTAAGCAGTTATTCAATAATAGCGTGAACCAGTTTCATAGACGCGACCGCCTGGGTATTGTACTCTAGGTTCATATCCGTGATCCCTTCCACTGTTGCCAAGATATCGAGCATTCTCCCTGTAAGAATCATAACTATCAGCATTATAGGCTGCTTGCCGTTCTCCTGCTGGAGAGTTATAGGCAACTTGTCGCTCCCCTGCTGGAGAGTTTGCCACATATCCACGAGCATTGTTAGCGCTCATGTTGCTGTGTCGATAGTTTTCCAAAGCAACTTGCTCATACTGTTGTTTTCTGGCATGAGACTCCCTTCGAAGGACTTCATCTCTGTGATTAGCTTGCCGGGCGCGAAGGGCAACTAGCTGTTCTTGATATTGTGTGTTGATTGCATTTATCCGCTGAAATATAAGCCAAAAATGTTACTCTCATTAAAACAAGATTTCTATACCAATAAAAGGCTGTGATTGGTCTAAAGGGCGGGTCACAGACGGATTTCTCGGTTATCAAAAAAAA